CGGTGAAGTATTATTACTCTTTTTATGTAGAATTATAGCGAAACTTAACATCTCTGTTAGATCAGTCATAATTCGGTAATATTCAACCATTGTTTAATCTAGATAATAAAAGTATCAAGTATAGCAAATTGCAGTTTTTTCTCGAAGTTTCCATCTTTTATACGTGTTTCTTTTTTGATTAGTTTACCTTACTTTTCGAGCGGACTAAAAATTATGTATCTAAATTTAGTCAGAACGGTCAAACTGCTTATGAAGTCGATGCTTGCCTAATATCTCAACTTAAAGATGAACTCGGTTTGCTTTTTTTCTGCAATTAATTTCTAAGAGAAAAACTCAAGGTGAATTTAATACGTAAAACATTGGAGTGCAAAGATTACTCTACATCCCGTATTTATATAGCGCACAGTTCATAAAATAAAAACACAAAAATATATTCCAAAATATTTCAAAACATTAATGTATACACTTTACACTATACTTTTACATTTTATAATTTAGATTTCTTTCTAGAACACCATGAAGTCATTACCAATTTTTTGAATTTTTTTCGTCGAAGAAATGAAAAAGATTTTCCCACTTTTGAACATCACCTTTTCAAGGAAGGTTTCTCTTAGTCTTGATGAGATGTTAATGATTTTCTACTAATTTTTCTACTTACATTTAGATAAAGCTGATAAGAAGATTGGATATCTTGAAAAAGAATTAACCCTTACAAAGCGTGCTATTTACGGAAATGAACAATTTAATATCAAAGGACAAATTGAGGCGCTTGAAAAGGATAAAAAGTTTAACAATTTTTTCGTTTCATTTTGCATTAATGTTTCGTATAACCCTTTTGTATTTTATTTTTATTCTAGTTAATTATTTATATGATCTTATTTTGTTTTGTTGGACAATTTCAACGTTTTTTTTTCTTTCAGAGATTTCATTTTTTCAAGTATTGTATTTTTCATTTACACAGAGAATTAACACGTGTAATCGACAGTCAAACAGAACGATTAACTCGTTTCGAGGATCAGTTAAGAGTGGTAAATAGGGAAAAAGAAGCATTACAACGAAAGTATACCGAACTGGAACGTGCCAACAATTTAGCTGTCCGGGAAAAGTTGGAACAGTTAGAAATTGTTGAGGTTTTTTTCAAACGAATTACCTTTATTTGCCATACATTTCCGCATTTCGAGACTTTCAGTCTCATTGCTTCAATTTTTATGTTCCCAAATTTTATCGTTTATGAGTTTTTTTGTTTTAAAGAGACAGCGGAAGGAATTATCTCGCTTGGAAGAAAAACATCTTGAGAAAAGTAAAGCACACGATGCGCAAATTGAGGCATATCAGCAACTTATCAAACAAAAGGTTGCATTCTTATCGGATTTTGAAACTTTTCTAAAATCCTTAATACATTTTTTTCTTATATTTATTCCGAATTTTTTGCAGGACGATGAACGTGGAGCACTGATTGCTGAACTTTGTGCTACTAATCGTTTAGGAACCCCGCTTCATGATTCAATTAATGAAACTGAAAGTCGTTATGGTAAATATTTCAAAATTTACTTATCATTTTGTATACTTGTAATTTCCTCGTATTTGAATTTTAAAATTTGTGATGAAATTATCACTAAGTTACTTAATTTGAAATTTAGTAATTCAGTAACAATTTTTTTCAATCGAGTTAAAAAAAATTTGATGGATTTTTTTGAATGGAGTGAGGAATTTACTGATTCACTGAGAAATTACAGTTCGTTCTTGCTCTACATGTTTATATATCCTAAATTTTGTAATGAAAATTTCACACTAACCCAAATAGGGAGGCAATCTAACTGAAGCTATACCGTTCATCAACAGCTCCTTTTGATAAGGATGGCTTATTTCGAAGGTGATCTAAGCAAATACTTTCCATATAAAAACTTCACTTCCTGCCATCGGGAAGCTAATACTGTGTTCACATTTGTGGTAATTATTGGAGCAGTTGTGATATCCTTTACAAACTTCATTTTGTGTTTCAGAAATATATTGTGGCTTATATTTCGAGGTTTCTTTTTCTCTGCAGAAAATTTATTACTAAATTAACTGAATCAATTTTTACGTAGAAGTGGAATTTTCTTGTTAATAGGTGAATATTCAAACAGGTTTACTCGATTTTTTTTCTAGCTGCAACTGATGAAAATCGTGAATTATTAAAAGAGGTGCGCGACTTAAATCACGAAAAACAAGCGGTGAGTGTCTTCCTTTAATTTCCAGTTTAGTGAGAGAGTTTTCGTCACTGAATTAATTTTGGTTCTTTTTTTTCTTACAATCTTGTGGGATTTGAAATTACATCTTTATTTGTCAAAATTTGGAAGATAATTTTCAGATGCTTGATAAAGTTACTTGCCTAGAAAGTGAACTTCAATCAATGAAAGACCAATTAAGGTTAAAAACAGATGAGATCGAGCAAGAAGTTTTACTGAAAAACTCGATGCACGATGACCTTGCTAAAGCACGAACTATGGTGAGGTTATCTGGGTTTTGCATGATAAACATTAATGGGCTTTCTCGTACTTATTGGAGAAGAAAGGACAAATATCAATGAGTTGAAGAATTGATATTAAATTTCTTTACTGTTTTTTAATCTTTTTTTTTTTAAATTCACTTCATTTAGAGTTTGTTCCACTTTGTTTCTTTCTCTTGAATATATCGATTTTCAACTTTTCGAATACTTTATACCAGCAATTTTGTCACTTGTCACACAGTTTGAGTTCCACAAAATGAATCGGTTGAAGAAGAGAAATAACAATAAGGAAGAGTATTTTTCAGTTATTAGAGAAGGAAGCACGAATTCTCGACTTGAATAATGAGCTGAAAGTTACCGAAGTAAAAGTAATGAAGGTATTTTTCTTTACTTCTTTCGATTTTATAATGGTTGATAATGCAAAGTAATGTAATGAACAGTTCTGATATTTATACCGTTACGAATTGTTCTGCTGAATTGTTAGCACTACATGTTTGTGTGTTGGCTCAGCTCTGATCTTTTAATTCATGGTGTGTCTCATGGTGTATTCAATGCTTGCGAATATCCTTTCATTCATTCATTTGAAATGAGAATGAATTTTGCCTTTTAGAAGAATTATCTTTTAGATTTGAGATAGTTAAAATGTTTGAAAGTCGAGTGTTTTGAAAAAATTATATCTATACAAGAATAGGTTTTCTTTTTTTTTACGAGACTTTCAATAAATGAGGATCACAGGCCATGTTTCTTAGTTCCGGAAACAGAATCTGGAAAATGCATACTTACAGTTAGAAACAGAACTTGCCAATTCAGCAGATCGTTTGCAAGTAGAACAAATCACTGGAAGCACGCTAAAAATGACTATTGAAGAGCTAGAAGATTTATTACAAGAGAAAAGTGCAGAGCTTATTTCGGCTGCACAAGAACGACAACGACACACCGCTGAAATCCAGAAAATGAAAGAATTGAAATATGACTTGGAAACTAAGCTGTAAGTTTTCATATTTTTGTTTTTGGCTCAAAATATTCTGATTTTTCCTTTTTTTGATTTTTTATTTCAAAAGCCTCCAAAAGTTTTTATGTAATTTTGCATAGATACTAATAGATACATAGAGAAAGTAATGGTGAGGAAAATGAGGGCGTAGAATGGGGCAAGGAAGGACAAAGGATAATTAGGGCAACAAATTTATATAACCAATGTGGAGTATATTAATAGTGACACAACTAATTCTCTTGAAAATGGTTTAGATTATGAGAATTTTGTGTTTCCAAATAAGTGATGAAAGGTTATTTTGAGTAGAGATGAATTGTATACTGGAAGATTTGCTGGATGAAACCTTTCAACTGAAGTGGGTGAAGCCCATCAGAAAGATGATTAATATTAGATGTAGAAATATCGTCCTTTTCTTCCAACTAATTCAACAGTTTTGGAAAATCAAAAGATTGTTATTCTAGTCATAAAATGAGAGAAGTCCGGATCAGTTTAAAGACAAAAATACGGTAGATAAACAGCCATTAAGTACAGAATAAAATTGATAGAGAACTGGTCAGTTTACTGGACTGCAGGAAGAGTGTATTAACTTCAGTAATTTAGTTTGCTTCTTTTGCTATCTTATTCAGAATGTATGATTTAGAAAAAGAAAAAAAGTGATGGTAATTGAGAATCATAGATGCTATAATTAATTCCGACTTGAATTTTTTTCTCTAATTAAGGTAATAGTGTTGCATACTGTGATAACAAAAATGTCAATCAAAATTTTTATTGCTATAAAAGAAATCATAATGCTTCGTTTTCTTCGTTTCTCATCGAACTCTGAACCACTTGTGTTGGAAAAATTTCGTAGTTTTTTAATATATAAATTTTTATAGTCTTTTAATACAAAAAACTTCACAGCCTTTTAATATGAAAAAATTTCATAGTCTTTTAATTAATATTAGATACTTAATTTTGTGTTGTTTTCGAGACCATATAGGAACTACATGATTTCCTTTGTTTCTGTCTTTTTTTTTTCTTTTTTTGTAAAACGTCCAAATATTCGAACTTCTCAGTGATTCTATTATTATTTGCCTACTTTGGAAAGGAAGTGATGACTGCTCGGGAGTTTTAAACGATGCAGTCTGATCATATTTCATATAGCTGTAAAATTTGTCTCAAATTATGTGAATTCTCTAGTGATTGATAGCAAACTCAATGAATAATACAAATTACCGATCTGCTAAGTTTGTTAAAGAGTCTTTTTTTCCTCATACGAGATATCTGATCGCTGATTTATTGTATTCTCCATGGGAAATCTAGAAAATGTTCAGAACAGAGAGTATAATAGAGTTACGAAATATTGAATATAAATAATAATTGAAAATTGACGAGTTATATAAGGTTGATAAAATGGTTGTAGAATTTTTATTACAGGTACATTGTTCTTACATAGAATTAGAATAAGTTTTATCATTTTCTTACATTTAGTTTAAGTGAGTTTGTAGTATTTACTTAGTAAGTTAATATAAAGAATATAGCTGCAACAATCCAAAATGAAATGCAGGTGTTGGGAACAGATGCATTTTATCACAGATGATTTTCATTCCTTTGCTTTTAAAATTTGAACAATTGATGATTCATTTAGTAAACTGATGAAATATAATTTCCAGCATATACGTAAACATTCTTTAGCACCTTACAAGGACGAAAACTAAAAGAGGCACGTGAAAAACTAGCTGTTCTTAAGAAGAAAATACAGGAGCTCGAGCTAGAAGCTGTGAATTCACCAGATAAGTAAGCTTTTTCTTTCCCATGTATCAAAATCATGTATGTCAAAATGAATGAAATTTCATTTTTGACGGAGAAATTCCAATGAAATCCATTGAAAAGCATTCAAAACATCCTTCTATTAGTTAGCTCGTAGAAAGATTTCCTTTAAAGAGCAAATGCTTGTTTTGTAATAATTGGATCACTGCTTCCTCATTAACCATTGTAAACATGCTATAATTAAATTAAAAAATTTTCAAATTTAAACATCTTTCTTCCACTTCTTTTCAGGAGCCTTCAGGAAGCAACTACGCAGCAAGGAAGTTCGAAATCAACCATGTTAGCAGCTACAGTGACGAAATCTGCCATCTCTAATGCTACCCCATAGCATTCTTAGACCAATACGGCTTTTCTTCGTTCTATTGGTTTATGCTAGCATATCTTAACTCATATCCGTTTACATTCCAATAAGCATTGCTCATATTTTACATATCAATTAATGCTAAAGTAATCCGATTTGTACACCCTCATATTTTCATACATCAATATCAACTACCAATTTGAGAGGAATGAAGTAACTATGAATTAACAAACGAACTGTACTTTTCATTTATCTAATTACTTACTTCATATTGCTGATTATGCTTAGTGTGATCAGGTGTTTTTCAAGTGATAATTAATATAACAGAAACAACCCCAAATGTTGAAATTTCAGTTTTTCCATGCTATTATACTTATCACTTGCACATACAATTGTTAGTAATTCTGGTTCCATTGTATTTATCTGTGTACAGCATGAATACAATTCATATATAATAAGGTATTCAATTTTATAACATGCACCTGTGATTGAGTAAATTACACTCATGATAACTAACAATAATATTACTAGATCATATCCATATTAGATATGAATTAATCTTTTCCTCAATCATTTTTCTTATACTGAAAACTTAATTAGTGACTGAATAAAAAGAAAGAAAAGAAAGAAAAAGTCACAGGAATATTAGTGACAAGTGAATGAGGATATTACCAGCTATATCATAACAGATAAGGATTAATAACAAGTCGTTAATTATTCATGCAACTTTGGAAAGTAAATTAGTGATTGAATCAGTGAATTATCACTACTGATAAGTGGATAATGATATTATCGAGTACACACATCTATAATTGGAGGATATGAATTAACAGCAATTTCCTAACTGTTTCTATGGCTTTTTTTCTTTTTCCTAAAAATTAGGTATTGAACCAAATTTTCAACTAATCCGAAAATGGATGAACGCTTAAGCGATAGACCTATACTCAACCATTGGTTCATCCACTTCTGCTTAACAAAAATGGCCCACTTGGAGCATACATTCAATATCTATGCTTCATTTAAGCAAACAAGACATCATACCTCACGTCCTACAATCCCTCTAATCATTTGTTTTCATCTGCTTTATTACTTCATCTATCCTGAGAGAAACCTTAGAAGGGATTAACTACCACATAGTTTGATTAATCTTTTAACCCCTATATTAAAGTCAAACGATCGATTTGCACGTTAGAATCGCTTCAGAGCTGATAACACTGATAACAATATACTTGTATAAGTTGCGTAATTACCTGATTACTCCACTTTTTTCTTCTTTTTGCTGAGAAGCTCAATTAGGAATTGAACTAATTAGCTAATTAGTCTACTACTTGAACATTACCCTTAGTGTAACTCATAATTTACCCGAAATTTGCTTAAATGTCATGTATGCCTTTTGCGTTTGTGTAAAGTGATGCGCAATCACCGCAACGAGAAGATGGAATTGTCGACAACCGTTAGAGGGGAGGAGGAGGAGGATGAGGAGGAGGAGGAGGAGGAGGAGGAAGAGGAGGAAAAGGAGGAGGAGGGGAATTAAGAAGAAGGATGACCCGGTTTTTTCTTTACTTCTATTAACTTACACTATTTTCGCACAATTTCAATGTCCTCTTCTTTCTCAGTATCTCCATACATTCCTCTATATGCCTGCTCTTTACTATCTTCTATTATATTTCATTCAATTCTTCAATATGTCTAACTTCCTACCATATCAATTGATCAATCAACTTTTTCGCATATTTCAGGCTTTGCTACCAGTAGTTGTAGGTGGGTGATATTAGTGGTAGGATTGTAAAGAATCGGGAGTACGGGAAAGCGGGAGGAGCGGGGGAGCGGGGTGGGATGAAAGCGCGAATGAATCTATGTGATTGGGGCCATTGTATGTGTAGTTTATGTTACGAAATTGTTGGAATATGTACTTTGATATCAAATTTACGTTTAACTCTTTCCGGCTCTCATTTTGGAGCGTATTTGCATAAGAGTGATAACAGCTTTAGTAAGCGATGATATGTGTGTGTGTCTGTGTGTGTTGTGTCTGTGTGTATGTGTGTGTGTCTATGTGCATGTGTATGTGTGTTTGTGTTCGTCTGTCTCTGTGTATACATATATGTGTGTATGTGTCTGTCTGTCTGTTGTGTGTCCGCGTGTGTGTCTGCGTGTGTGTGTCTGTGTGTGTGTGTCTGTTGTGTGTGTGTGTGTCTGTGTATGTGTGTCTGTTTGTGTGTGTGTCTGTGTGTGTGTGTCTGTGCGTGTGTGTGTCTGTGCGCGTGTGTGTTTGCGTGTGTGTGTGTCTGTGTGTAATAAGCTCTTATCAAGAAGTATGACTTCCATTCTGCCAACTTCCATCTCTTCTCGTATTGTTTTCAGCTACCGTATCCATCCGTTATTGATAAGTAGGAATTATTTTTAACATTCGATGAACGCGAAAGGCGGACACGCTTAGATTTGAGTATTCAATATAAATAAACAAATCGTGATGAAATGTTCTAGAGTAGTTTAGTGATGAAAAAGATAAGAAAGAATAAGATGTTAGAGGTATGATTGAATGTGATATGATAATTTAACTTGATGTAGAATGAATGATAAAAGAAAATAACCCCGAAAATGATGACCAAATCACTGTGCATAGTGACCAAAAGTAATGGAATGAGCTTTGCATTAAGCATGAAGTCAATGTTAGCTCATTATTCAAATAACTTCCCGCAGGTCTGATGCTTTTACGTAGCGAAGGTTTTTTCTTTGTGAATATAATATGTAAATTATCTAATCATTGGTTTTAGTCAAAAATGTGGGTTACAGGAGATAGCTTAAGTTTCTGTGGATTTAATTTTTGGTAGTTACAGAGCAATGAAACGCGTGAAAATATGTTCTTCTCTTTTTCCCTTTTGTTTTTTTTTCTTTTTCTTTGTATTCTCGTAGAATTTTAACTGAACTTGAAAAACTATAGATTATATATGGTGAATTGCGATACGGTTTTAATATAGTTTGAAAAATTTTCCTTCTCCAACTGAACTTCAAATTATTGTTACTATTGGCGTAAATGTTCGGTTTTTATGCTTTTAAATTGCAGTTATTTTTCTTGAATCATTCTGTTTTTTTTTTCTTTTTACAGTGCATAAATCACATAGTTGTGGTGTTTTTCCGGTCTAATTTTTGAAGATGGATCCAAACAAACCGCAGTACTTCATTCATCCGTATGATCCTACGAATCTTACTGGTACAAAGGTATGTTTGCCCTATTATGATGAAAGAGTCATTGGTTACTGTTTCAGAGTTTCTGATTAGTTTGAAAAGCTTTCCTAATCGACATATGAAAGTTTGGAATTATGTCGAAAGATTTCAAGTATAATTTTAGGCTTTAGAAGGTTTAAATTTGCCGCTGGCAAATTTCAGCTAGGTTCTAAGTCAGTATTCTTAGGCTTCAGGTAGTGGTGATAAAGATTATTGTAGGAAAGGTCACGGTGGTGATAAGAAGGTTCCAGTTTTTTTCGTGAGATATTAGGGCGTGGGAAAGTCCTGCATTTGTGATAAATGTTATTAGCAAAAGTTTGGACCTGAAACGATGAGTTGAACTCTAGCTAATCTTTGACAGAATTTTTGTTTTGTTACTCATAGGGAGAGCTTTGATTTAAATTATCAATTAATGCGGAAAACTCTCAAGTGACCACCTAGAAATGCTTACCTTTGTTGAAAAGGGAAATTATGATAAATATAGGATGCTGTCGTATGGTGGGTACTGTAATCGACATTTGAATTTGTTAAAGCCTACGCACAATCAATACCGGATGCTGCAATATTTCAAAATAAGTTTATGCCAAAATTAGTTTTCTTCGAGACTTGTAAGTTCGGATAACGCTTAACAGTTATCCAAACTGCTCTATTATATTCCGTTTACATCTAATATATGGCTTATGTAGTGTGAATCACATATTTACCTGTTCCAAAGTGTTCATGAAGTTTTTTTCCGCATAACAGTCGTGAATATTTCATATATTTTATCATGTTCTTTCGCAAATATGAATTATATTTTCAGCTGCAGGTTATTTCTGGTTCACCACTAGCAGTTGTAGCTGCAGTACAAAAAGCACAACAACAACACGTTGCCGCAACACTTACAAGTGCTGGTGCGCCGGTCGCAGTGAATATTGATATACAGGGTAAGTAATGATTTCTTAAACATTAATTTGGAAGATTCCATGACGAGTTTTTAAATGAAAGACTCCATGGTTATGCGACCAATCAGTTTTTAAATGAAAGTGTGTGGGAATGACGCATCTTTTTGTGAAGTAGCATAGGATACAGATGCAGTTTTACATAAAGATGAAGGATACCGAGTTATTAATTAGCATTTAATAGTTAAATACCGAATGTTCTCGACTTTTCGATGTTTGGTGTAGTTTAGACAATTTGTCAGTCAATTTTAACTTTCTTTTTTTCATAGCATTAACTGACATGGCACATCGAGAATATCAAGCCGGTGATTATGCAAATGCTGAGCAACATTGCGTGACAATTTGGCGTGCCGATCCAAACAACGTCAGCGTTCTACTTCTCCTTTCTTCGATACACTTCCAACTAAAAGACCTGGATAAGTATGTACTGAAATCGCAAGTAACTTCCTTTTAATAAAAGTTGGCCATTTGATGATATAGTTTGTCGTTAGTTTCTTTCGCAGTACTAAGGAAAATAAAAGTTTTTTTTTGGAAATCAAAGTAAAAAGGACCTTCATTTGGCCGTCTGATTTCTTCCTTCAACATCACTCATAATCAATTTATTTCTACACTGAAATTACGCCAGAATGGAGTGCAAATATTTACTATGAATTTTTCAATTAAGGTCGATGCAGTTTTCAACAATGGCGATTAAAGCAAATCCGAAATGTGCTGAGGCATATAGTAATTTGGGCAATGTATACAAGGTTCGATTATCCCTCTGGTTTCTTCTATCAAGCTTTAACCTGATGTTAAAAGAGATCTGAAATCACTTATTGTCATGTTAATCCTGCTACGAAATGTCATGCTGGCAGCAGATGATAATAGTAGCATTGTACCAGATGTCTTTAAATATTGATTATTATTATTGATTTCAGTTTTCTCCTTCCAAAAAGTTATTCTAACTTACAGGAACGAAATCAATTAGCAGAAGCACTAGAAAATTATAAGATAGCGGTATCACTGAAACCAGACTTTATTGATGGATATATCAATCTAGCAGCTGCATTAGTTGCAACTGGTGATTTGGATCAAGCTGTGAATGCATATGTTTCTGCTCTTCAGTATAATCCTGTAAGTTGTTGGGCGTCAAGTCTGAAAGCATAATGTTACATTATGTTAAATTCACTGAACGTTAAATTCTATTTTGTTGTACTTAGTCATCTGATTGGACGATTCTTGCAGATTCTTTAGTGTTTTGTTATTTAGACCATATTGAATGAAATATTGGTCAATGTCCTCAGACATTTTCCTTTTTTATTGGTCTTTTGCTGATTCATTTTCTGACTATTCAGGATCTATATTGTGTGCGAAGTGATCTAGGGAACCTGCTAAAAGCAATGGGTCGTCTCGAAGATGCAAAGGTATTGGTTTGTTGATGGAATGAAAGTTCTTCAGGGATTAATAAAGATTTAGACAAACAGTGATAGTAGGATAACAGAATACCGGCGACAATGCAAAACTAATGTAAGTCTACAGTAAAAGTATAAGGCTGACGGTCACGCGTTACTTATCCCCCTTAAGAGTTTTAATACTTTATTGTGGGAAATATCCAATTTTTTAAAAAATCAACACACTTCCGGTCGGAGGCAGTAAATTATTTATTTTTTAAATTAGAATTGGAACAAATCTCATTCTCAAGTTTTGGATTTAGGAATTCATTTTTTTTTGCTGCCTCTGCGGGATTAAGTTGAATAAAGTACGTTGTCATTTAAAGGGCAGAAGAATTGCTGATATCATTTATTGTTCGGATGTGATTTCCGGAAGACTTTTCCTATTAGTTATCTCAAATTGATGATGTATTTAGGATCGAAAGCATTTTTTGAAAATCTCGAGTAGTTATTCGAAAAAATTCAAACGTTTTGAAAAATTTTTCTTAGATTAAGGCTACGAAAAACTTTTCTAATTTCTCTCATTGAACATTTTATAATGGACTTTTATTTTTTGTGCTTTACTGGGATTTTATAAATTTTTGTTGCATTCAAAAAAAAAGAAGACTATCACACGGAAGGCTGTTCTCTCTTCAATTCTTTTCGGATTAAAGCCATTAACTTGGAGTCTTTTTGTAAATTTCATGTGAATATGGTTGTAACATCAAATTTTGGACCAAATGATATCAGCAATTTTGATGCTTTCTGCGGACTCCCACCAAATCATATACGCGCGCGCGAAATAAGACTGTTTATTGTAAATCTGAAACTGACCGCTTTATCCCACCTTAAATTTCATTTTTCATATTTCTAGCGAAAAAGATTGTTTTTTCTTTTTTTCCAAAAGCGGTCAATTTCAAATTTGTAGGTTCTAATCTATATTGATGTGCAGGCTCGCTTCGTCCAAGGAATTGTGAATTCTGCTGAGTTTCTGGTGATAATTTTTAAAATTTATACTGGGGAAGAACAGTCAAGGAGGAAGACGAGATTAAAAAGAAAAGACTTTGAAATACCAGATTGGGAGAATTTTACTTGTAAACTTGTAGTAATATCTTTCGCCAGTTCTCATGAGTTCATCTTCTTTCGACGTTATTCTTACGATCAGGGATGAATTCAAAGATGGTTGCTGAAATTTCTTGTTATTTCTCCCGAATTCCTGGTTTTTCTGTCATGTAATTTGAAATATCTGGTTGAGCTCAGGAATTGTGTTGTGATGGAGAAAGTAAATGTGATGTCCGTTTCCTAATATTTTGAACCATCCTTGAATTCATTGCCATTGTATCCTGATGGCAGTTTTTTTTTTTTGGAAACGTTGGCCACATCTTGCAAGTAATAGTTATGTATATTCATGATAAGTTTCTGGTACTGAATCAGTAAACTAAAATTTCCGAGGGCTAAATCTGTTTTTTCAACTCTCAAGGTGATACTTTTAACCCCTTTACCCGGGACCAATCTCTTTTTAAAGTTTGCAAGATGCTTGATCCGTGGCTTTTGAAGCTGCCATCAGTACCCAACCAATTACTGAGAACGTACTTTTTTCAACTTACGAATGAGACCATTCCGTTGTGAGGTGTGTTGATGACAACAATCGTGATTTTGGATTGAAACGGAAACAAAATTCAGGGTTGTTAAAAGTTTCTTTCAGTGGGTTTTTGCGATTAATTCATCATTAGCAAACTTGGAGTTTGTTGTGGCTCGGGCGAAG